CTTAACTGCTTCCCTATATACTGTGTGTGTGTGTGTTGTATGTATTGTATGTATATATATATATATATATATATATATATGTGTGTGTGTGTGTATGTATGTATATATGTATATATATATATGTGTGTGTGTGTATGTGATTTTGCATTTCTGCACAGTGTGTGTGTGTAATCATATATATATATATATATATACACATACACACTGCTCAAAAGAATTAAAGGAAACACTTTTTAATCAGAGTATAGCGTCAAGTCAGTTAAAATTACTCCTGGGGTATTGATTTGGTCCGTTAAGTAGCAGAGGGGGTTGTTAATCAGTTTTCTGTTGCTTTGGTGTTAATGAAATTAACAACAGGTGAAAGTAGATGGGCAACAATGAGATGACCCCCAAAACAGGAATTGTTTTACAGGTGGAGGCCACTGACATTTTTTTCCCTACTCATCTTTTCTGATTGTTTTTCACCACTAGTTTTGAATTTGGCTGGGTCAAGTGTCACTATGGGTAGCATGAGGCGATACCTGGACCCTACAGAGGTTGCACAGGCAGATTCAACTCCTCCAGGATGGCACATCATATAGGTGCCATTGCCAGAAGGTTTGCTGTGTCTCCCAGCACAGTCTCAAGAGCATGGAGGAAATTCCAGGAGACAGGCAGTTACTCTAGAAGAGCTGGACAGGGCCATACAAGGTCCTTAACCCAGTAAGACTGGTATTTGCTCCTTTGCAAAAAGAGGAACAGGAATGAGCACTGCCATGAGCCCTACAAAATGACCTCCAGCAGGACAGTGGTGTGAGTGACCAAACAATCAGAAACAGACTTCATGAGGGTGGCCCTGAGGGCCTGACGTCCTAGTGGGCCTGTCCTCCACTGCCCGGCACCATAGAGCTCGATTGGGCATTTGCCATTGAACACCAGAATTGGCAGGTCCACCACTGGCACCCTGTGCTTTTCACAGATGATACCAGGTTCACCCTGAGCACATGTGACCCAAGACGTGAAAGGGTCTGGAGAAACCATGGAGAACATTATGGGCTGCCTGTAACATCAATCAACATAATCGTTTTTGGTGGTGGGTCAGTGATGGTCTGGGGAGGATATTCATGGAGGGATGCACAGACCTCTAACAGCTAGACAATGGCACCCTGACTGCCATTAGGTATCGGGATGAAAACCTTGGACCTATTGTCAGACCCCTAACGATGATGCAGTGGGTCTTGGGTTCCTCCTGGTGCACCACAATGCCCCCGGCCTCATGTGATGAGAGTATGCAGGCAGTTCCTGGAGGATGAAGGAATTGATACCAACTGAATGGCCCCCAAGCTCGTCTGACCTAAATCCAATAGAACACCTCTGGGATATCCATGTTTCGGTCCATCGGACACTGCCAGGTTGCACCTCAGACTGTCAGGAGCTCAGTGATGGCATGGTCTAGATCTGGGAGAAAAACCCCAGGACACCATCCATTGTCTCATTAGGAGCATGCCCCGACATTGTCAGACACATGCTTACAAGCACAGGGGGGATACATACAAACCACCAGTTTTGAGTACCATTTTGAGTTGCTGCAATGAAATTTCACCATAATGGACTAGCCTGCCATCATTTTATCACTCTGATTTTTGTCGGGGTGTCTATAAATTCTGTCCTCTGTAGGTTGATAATTTTCATTTCCATCAAATGATGGGGCATCCTTATGTTGCCCTAACACATTACCCAGTCCCATATCAGTACAGATATCCAGCATGATATTTTTCCCCATTGAGATCTGATGTGTTTTCAAACTGTTTTAACTTACATTTTTTGGGCAATGTGTGTAAATATATATATATATAATAATGATTGTTTAGTGCTATATATTTAGTACTATTGTTTAGCTACATATCTTCTAAGAATACATTTTCTGCAATATTTAACAGAAAGGCAGGCTGCCATTCCACCTAGCAGCTGAAAAAGGCCATATAAAAATGATCAACAATCTGCTGAACATGGGATTATTTACATCAGAGCCGGACAAGGTCAGTACATTCAGGTCTTCAGGCAATCACTTTCTGTCCCTCAGTATGACAGAGTAAGTTCTGGCAGTGTCGGTGTGGCAGGATGGAAGCATTCCTTCATAGGACTGACGGGTTTTTCAAGTTATTTTGTTACAGTTCCTAGAAAATGATGTGTGCGTATGATTACATTCAAAAAGTACTATCTGCATTACTCAGGGCTTCTTCACACCATGTGTGGTGACGTGTGCTTTTCCACACTGGATAAATGCAGGTCAGCACTATTACACTTGGAAAACAATTATTTTTTTAGGCACCCTGTTCACACTACAATGTTGGTGTGATGTGCAGTGCAGAAAATTGCAGCAGGTCTGCATTTTCTGCACTACGATAGATGGCGCCACATGTCACTGCACAGCAGCGCAATGTATTGCATTGTGGTGCAGTGACATGAGTGACGTGTCACCATGTAAGTGTACAATCCAAACAAAGAAGTGTTCCTGCGTTAAATATGGCTGTGTGTATATGTGGTGCTGCAGTGAAATGTCAGCTGGAACTGAACAGAATCAGAAGGGAGAATGTCACCAGCACACCGAGGATCACCAATATGGATCCAAACGTTTTAATGAACGATCACATAGTTACAGCAAAGGCAACGTTTTTCGGTGTCTCGCAGAACCCCTTTATCAGGCATGTGTGACGCCTTTGATAGGCTTCAGGCAGCGGGACTAGATGCTGCACTTGTCCCTTCTGGGTATACTAAAATGCCTGGAGGGACGCACTTCAGCTAGATGGTCCTGGGGCCTTATTAGTGGACATTTCCCATAACTCTAAATACAGACAATGATATTATCTGTAATTATGCTGCCAAACTCTAACCTGTACTGATAATGGCAACAGCCTTAGATCCTATGCATACCCATCAATAAATTATTATTACAGGTACTTATATAGCGCCGTCACTTTACACGCAGCACTTTACATATATATTGTACCTTCAAATTATTACATCCATGTTCAAGAGGCCTTTTGGCTCACATACATCAGATGTTTAGCCCTGGTTTGGGAGACTCCAACATTTAGGTGTGGACAGAAGTCACCGAACATAATCAGCAAGGGAGAATGTCACCGGCATACCGAGGATCACTAATATGGGTCCAAACGTTTTAATAAGCGATCACATAGTTACAGCAAGGCAACGTTTCGGGGTTTCACAGGACCCCTTCATCAGGCATGTGACACCTTGGACAGGCTTCAGGCAGCGTACCATCCGGCCCCATCCAGCCTCAGCAGCTGTCAGCCTCTCATAGACTTTTACAGGGTGCTGGAAGCAGGACCTGGATAGTGCGCCTGTGCCTTCTGCCCGAACCTAAACACCACATTCTCATCTGCTGGCTCTAAACACCAAATGCGCCTGAGTTCTTAAAGGTAAACTGTATATGCCTTTAAAGAACGATGTCTTTTATAAATATACAATTTGCTGAGATCAGTAGCAGTTTTAAACACTTGCTTTTAATATACCATGTTCTTAATGCAGTATGATTTTACAAATAATTCAATTTCCTCTGCTCTTCATTTTTTGCCTTGCAGGAAGGTAACACAGCGCTTCATCTGGCGGCCGCTAATGGCCATGATCCAGTTATGGGAGTTCTGCTGGAGAATTGGGAAGATAAAGATAAAGACAGCATCAACATGGTACTGACCCGTCACAAACATAAAAGCATGCTGCATCCAAAGTTTACATTTCACCCCCATCCATTTGTTTTATCTCTCACTGGTAGCTTTCCCCACAATATTCGTATCTTCCACGATGTCCTAACAAAATTGTCACCTTTTTGTAGCCAATGTCCCCAATTATTTTTGTCTACACTACAAAGAAAGTGGGAATATTTTTCAGTTGGAAATCATGAAAAACAGAACAAACCAGTATGTGTATTTCAACATTCTAACAGCCAAGCAAACTATTATATTACTTTTGGGCAGAACAGACCCACTAGTGCTGCTTTTTAGAGGTCTGTTTAACTGGCTGCTCCCCTACATTCCCTTTAGATTGGTTTGAATGGGCAATTCATCTAAAGCCAGTAGAATATAAAAACACCAATTCAGTTATGTGTATGTATGTATATATATGTGTGTGTATATATATATATATATATATATATATATATATAGTGTATATATATCTATATAGATAGATATATATATTGTGTGTGTGTGTATATATAATAATAGTAATAGTACTGAGTCTAGTTCTATCAATCTCCTGTAATCTCATGCGTAGAAGCCAGGGAGAGGGAGGAACACTAAGAGCCAATCAGGCCCTGCTGCGCACACATATGCTGGCATTAAACAAAGCGACAGGAAGAAGGATCACAGTAGGCAGAGAGGTGACCTCATCATGCTATCACTGCTCCTTCACTGCCCAAACACAGGTGGGGGGAGGTGACCTAGCTATTTTGGCTGCATTATAGAAATAAATATGGTCGTCAGACTGCTGTCATGTGTGGGAGATCTGTTTAAATTTCGGGACTGCATGGACAATAATACAGTTGGTTTGTCAGATAAAAAAGCTCCTTATATACACTATATTGCAAAAAGTATTGGTTGGCCTGCCTTTACACGTACATGAAGTTTAATGGCATCCCAATCTTGGTTCGTAGGGTTCAATATTGAGTTGGCCCGCCTTTTGCAGCTATAACAGCTTCAACTCTTCTGGGAAGGCAGTCCACAGGGTTTAGGAGTGTTTCTGGGAATGTTTGACCATTCTTCCAGAAGCGCATTTGTGAGGTCAGGCACTGATGTCGGATGAGAAGGCCTGGCTCACAGTCTCCACTCTAATTCATCCCAAAGGTGTTCTGTTGAGTTGAGGTGCACACCAGACTCCATGGACCTTGCTTTGTGCACTGCTGCACAGTCATGTTGGAACAGGAAGGGGCCATCCCCAAACTGTTCCCACAAAGTTTAGAGCATGAAATTGTCCAAAATATCTTGGTATGCCGACACCTTAAGAGTTCCCTTAACTGGAACTAAGGGGCCAAACCCAACTCCTGAAAAACAACCCCACACCATAATTCCCCCTCCACCAAGCACTTGGCACAATGCAGTTGGGCAAGTACCTTTCTCCTGGCAACCGCCAAACCCATACACATCTATCGGATTGCTAGAGAAGTGTGATTCATCACCCCAGAGAACATGTCTCAACTGCTCCAGAGTCCAGTAGTGGCGTGCTTTACACCACTGCATCCGACGCTTTGCATTGCAGTTGGTGATGTAAGGCTTGGATGCAGCTGCTTGGCCGCAAAAACTCGTTCCATGAAGCTCTCTACACACTGTTTTTGTGCTAATCTGAAGGCCACATAAAGTTTGGAGGTCTTTGGCTACTGACTCTGCAGACAGTTGGTGACTTCTGCGCACTGTGCACTTCAGCATGCGCTGAACCCGCTCTGTCATTTTACGTGGCCTACCACTTCATAGTTGAATTGCTGTTGTTCCCAGTTGCTTCCTCTTTGTTATAATACCACTAACAGTTGACCGTGGAATATTTAGTAGCAAGGAAATTTCACGGATGGACTTATTGCACAGGCGGCAACCTATCACGGTACCACACTTGAATTCACTGAGCTCCTGACATCGACTCATTCTTTCACAAATGTTTGTAGAAGCAGTCTGCATGCCTACAGTAGGTGCTTGATTTTATACACCTGTGGCCATGGAGGTGATTGGAACACTTGAATCCAATGATTTGGAGGGGTGTCCCAATACTTTTGGCAATATAGTATATATTTAATTGTTTAATCTTGTTTCCCTGGGCTCAGTTTAAAAATGCGCAAGTTCTAATTTAATGTACAGTTAACACCAAAACTGCAAAAATTTGTAAATTCATTATTAGTAGAAATTAGAATGAAAATTGGTAGAAATTAGTTATTAGAAAAATTATTAGTGAAAACTATAAGATTGCTGAAAGCGCTGCCACAGTCTCTTGTGACATTTGCCTACCCAGTAAACAATTTCCCACATAGAAATGTATTTAAATTTGTCAATTACATCAGTAATAATTAAGTAACTAAGTAACTGTGCTAATATTGTATTATATCAAATGATGTTCTTACAGCTTTACAACAGTTAATGATTACTTTCCTACCATACAACAAATGATTAAAAAGTTTCTTAATAAATTACTTAACAATAAAACCTACTGAAATGGTATATCGTCTCATTAAACAAGTATTATAAAAACGCCACAAAAAAACTGTCAGCTCATTATTGAGACTTATTTTTATGACCCCGTAAAGTTTTTTTTATAATATAAGTTCAAGCTGTTCCACAAAGAACACATTGTGGGCCCTGTAAACAAGGTCTTTTTTATTTAATGAGAACCAATCAGACAGAAACTTGCTTGCTCTAGTTGTCATTCTCCAATGCAGTTTTGGTTTCAGGTGGCTTTAGGACATCATGGACAAATATTTTTTGAACTCGGTGAATGTGGCCAACCCTCCACATTATTTAATCTTTGATCTTTTGTTTAGCAGAGCTAAATATAATTAGTATAGGAAAAAATACTTTGTGTGTGTGGAATCTAAATCAAACAAGGTTTATAATGTTGACATTTCTATTTTATTTCTATTACATGTAATTATATATTTATTGTAGTCCCAAATTGTTTTTTTTTTTTTTTTTTTTTTTGCTGTCATATTCAGGTACAGTGGCTATAAAATGTCTACACACCCCTGTTAAAATGTCAGGTTTCTGTGATGTAAAAAAATTAGACAAAGATAAATAGTTTCAGAACTTTTTCCACCTTTAAGGTGACCTATAAACTGTACAACTCAGTTGAACAACAAACTGAAATCTTTAAGGTGGACAGGAAGTAAAATCAAAAAACTAAAATAATATGACTGCATAAGTGTGCACTCCCTTAAACTAAAACTTTGTTGAAGCACCTTTTGATTTGATTCCAGCACTCAGTCTTTTTAGGTATGCGTCTATCAGCATGGCACATCTTGGCTTGGCAATATTTGCCCACTTTTCCTTCCAAAAACACACCAAATCTGTCAGACTGCGAGGGCATCTCCTGTGCACAGCCCTCTTCAGATCACCCCACAGATTTTTGATCAGATTCAGGTCTGAGATCTGGCTGGGTTATCCAAAACTTTCATCTTCTTCTGGTGAAGCCATTCCTTTGTTGATTTGGATGTATGCTTTGTGTCATTGTAATGCTGAAAGATGAAGTTCCTCTTCATGATCAGCTTTCTAGCAGAAGCCTGAAGGTTTTGTGCCAATATTGACTGGTATTTGGAACTGTTCATAATTCCCTCTACCTTGACTAAGGCCCCAGTTCCAGCGGAAGAAAAACCGCCCCAAAGCATGATGCCACCACCGTGCTTCACTGTGGGTATGGTGTTCTTTTGGTGATCTGCAGTGTTGTTTTTGCGCCAAACATATCTTTTGGAATTATGGCCAAAAAGTTTAACCTTGGTTTCATCAGACCATAACACATTTTCCCACATGCTTTTTGGAGACGTATTTGTGCAAAATTAGCCGGGCTTGGATGTTTTTCTTTGTAAGAAAAGGCTTCCATCTTTCCACTCTACCCCATAGCCCAGACATATAAAGAATACAGGAGATTGTTGTCACATGTACCACACAGCCAGTACTTGCCAGATATTCCTGCAGCTCCTTTAATGTTGCTGTAGGCCTCTTGGCATCATCCCAGACCAGTTTTCTTCTCGTCTTTTCATCAATTTTGGAGGGATGTCCAGTTCCTGGCAGTGTCACTGTTACTCCATATTTTCTCCACTTGTTGATGACTGTCTTCACTGTGTTCCATGGTATATCTAATGCCTTGGAAATTCTTTTGTACCCTTCTCCTGGCTGATAAATTTTAACAATGAGATTCCTCTGATGCTTTGCAAGCTCTCTGCGAACCATGGCTTTTGCTGTAGGATGCGACTAAGAAAATGTCAGGAAAGGCTTACTAGAACAGCTGAACTTTATTTGGGATTAATTAGAGGCACTTTAAATGATGGGAGGTGTGTACTGACTCCTATTTAACATGATTTTAACAGTAATTGCTTAATTCTTAACACCGCTATACCCCCAGTTATAACAGGGTGTGCACACTTACACAACCACATTATTTGAGTATAATAATTTGGTGCTGCACTAATAACATATACCTTAAATCAAAATAAACAGAAAACTTCACAGAAAGAGCAAAATATATATAGAATAGAATGCACATGAAAATCATATATAACAGTGGAGACCCCTAAATACTAAATCTAGGGTGTAACCGAAGTACACCATAAATAGGTGACTTATAATTATCAAAATATATGGAGTAGAATGCACATGAAAATTCAAAATCATATATTAACAGTTGAACCAAAAATTGGTGATTTATAAGTGACAATCCTTATTATCCGTAAACAGTGCCAAAATGGTGATAAAATAGAATCCCACCACTACTGTGCTAAATTGCACACAATAACTTGTGATGTAAAAATATACCTGCAGGTATATTACGTGCCAAACTGGTATTGGCAAAAGATCTAACAGAAAAGAACACTTATAGTGCACATAGGTGAAAAGAAAGGAAACTTTTTGAAAAAGTGGTTACTAGTGAAAAACCACAAAGCTAATTTGCCGCAACATAGTTGTAAATAAAATCATCAAAGTTCAACAGATATAAAACTGATAAAAAGAAAAAAGTGAACCATATAACAGTGACCCCTAATTGGGGATAAAGTGAAAAATTAGTGACTAAGTGACACTAATAGAATACTGTATATGGTGAAACATTTATAAACCACACAGCCTATAAACATAAAGACAAAACCAAAGGAAATAAACTATTTATACAGTACGTGACCCCAAAATGCGGGGATAAATATTAAGATAAGTGACATACACGTGAATCCATGACACATTAAATGATAGGTCAAAAAATTCCAGAATCGTATATAAATAAAATATCCAACATATAAAGTGAATCTCATCCAGAAATAAACGTATCACCCGAACTAAAAGTCCAAAAACCACCTAAATGGTGGAGGTGTCCTATAGTCCTTAATGGATTTATGGATATGAAAAGTTATACATAGGAAATCCACCACACCTCCATGAATCGACCCCACAGGGTCAAAGCGCTTTTTCAAATAGTACCGCACCAATCGAGAACTTGGACCCCCTCCTGTAGGTATAGGGTCCAACATAGAATCAGTCCCCCTCACCGGTGGAAAATGGCACTGCAGGCAACCTTCTCAGAAATATCCCGGAAACAGCCAATCCTCATACAGCCAGAGAAACAAAGGAAGATCCTCCCATAGTGTAATAACAATAAAGGTAATACAAGTCCCACTCACATGTATATAGCTTTACACAAGACTTGTGTGTAAGCACATGCTGTGGGTGTACTTTACATTGATGTCTATTGGAGTACCAAGATGGCGTTCACGCCGGAAATGACGTCAGCACGTCCCACATGTTACGTCATGCGTCCCTGATGATCTTTTGCCAATACCAGTTTGGCATGTAATATACCTGCAGGTATATTTTCACATCGCAAGTTATTTTGTGCAATTTAGCACAGTAGTGGTGGGATTCTATTTTATCACCATTTTGGCACTATTTACGGATAATAAGGATTGTCACTTATAAGTCACCGATTTATGGTGTACTTCGGTTACACCCTAGATATATTTGGGGGTTCCACTGTTTTATATATGATTTAGAATTTTCATGTGCTTTCTATTCCATATATTTTGATATTCACATGTCACCTATATATGGTGTACTTAGGTTACACCCTAGATTTAGTATTTTGGGGGTTCCACTGTTATATATGATTTTCATGGGCATTCTATTCTATATATATTTTGGAATATATATGCTCTTTCTGTGTTTATTTTGATTTAAGAGATATATTATTAGCGCAGCACCAAATTATTATATTTAATTATTGTCCATTGTGGTATGTGATAGGGTGTTAGCGGCTGTATTTAGAGATTGACATTCTGAGCATGGGAGTACTATATAGATACATTATTTGAGTATTTTATGTTTACTTCCCCCCCTAAATATTTCAGTTTGTTGTTCAATTGAGTTGTACAGTTTATAGGTCACATCAAAGGTGGAAAAAGTTCCAAAATGATTTATCTTTGTCTCATTTTTTAACATCACAGAAACCTGACATTTTAACAGGTGTGTGTAGACTTTTTATATCCACTGTAGCCTGTGGAGAATTTGAGCTGGTTTAAACTCTCAGTTCCATGCACAACAGACCGATGTTGGCTTTTAATTTGAATCTGTCTAACAACCTACCTGTCTAACTGTTCTCAATGTTGTATAGTTTGTTTCATGACAGTAAAGTACATTCCTGTGTCATGGTGTGCCCTCCTTTAATGTTTTCTAGAATGGGGCCACACCGTTTTATTTGGCAGTGGATGGAGGACATGAATCTTGTGCCAATCATTTACTGAACGAAGGAAGCAACATCAACGCTATAACTCATGTAGGTATTTTTTTTTTTAGCAGACTGCCTTAAACCTTTCGCGGTGAAAACATTGTGTATATTGCTACTGAACAAATATTCCTACATGCTTGATAGTCTTTTGACTGTGGAAATGTATTTGTTTAGTTTGGTGCCAGGGGTGTGGCACTTAACCTTTAAACTGCCACTTAAAGTTTGATTCCCAACCCTAACACTTAACTATGGAGGGTATTTTTTTTTTTAAATTTCAGGACTGCACAGGAACCCTTCATCAGGCATGCATTGACCATCGTAGCTTTGCACC